ACTACCACAACCTCGTGACTCATCTTGAGAGCACGCTAAATTTATTATCATATCTCTTGAAATGAACGGTGGGCAAGTAGATATTCATCTTGTCAAATATTCTAGATCCTTCACCCGCAATAGTATGTCGTCCATCATACAAGCAGTCGTACTTGTTTCAATTCCGTATATACCTAAACTCCCAAGAGTTAATATTTGTTCATTTGGTTGAAAGTCATTTAGAGTTTTCTCAAGACTTTCGTCTGAACGAACCTGTAAAGCAGATATCTTCATTTCGTCAGAGCAAGATCTTTCATATTAGACCAAATCAACGACCTTTATTACTCCATGAAAATATAGGCGAACATTAAACTGTTTGTTCTATTTAGAAACAAAAACTCCTCTAAATGCCTATTGCACTTTGCATCTGAAACTTTAGAAGACCAACGAATTGGATTAAAGTCAACCACCCTGTGATACTCGGATGGAAATTTCTTCATCTGAAATAGTCCTACAGCATTTGTAACCAGATATAGTTCTAACGGTTTTGTATCTGCTTACTTTTTTTCTTTGTTTTACTATCAATACTCGGAAGCATTTTAAATTATGTAAAAATATATTGTTTTAAAATGGATAAATGCCATTTCAATAACTGTCTCATCTAACAAACAAGTTTCCCAACTGTCTTCTCCAATCAAACTCAGCGTACATTTCACTGCAAAATACCCAATTTAAAAATGGTCACTTTTTAATGATACAAAACTCATAAATTTTTACTTCATGCAATGTATTTAACGCAAAATGTCGCTGACAAAGAATATTTGTTGTATTTCTTTGAGTATCTTACGTTTAAATCACCTATTCTAACCACTTTGGTGTCATTGTCTATCTTTCTAACTGTTTCAAACTCAATGTTTGTCATTTCTGTTCTTACATACAAAATAAAAAAATAAATAAAAATAAAACTAACTTTATTTTTTCTGTCTTAAGGAAATTCATGAAATTTGGTCATTTTTCAGCAAAAAATATATTTTAGGTGAAGAGGTGAGATTTCACCTGTTTTTTCACCTGTTTTCTCACATGGTCTAAAACACACAAAACTCATGAAATTTGGTCATTTTTCAGCAAAAATATATTTTAGGGTAGATGGTTAGATCTAACACGTTTTTTCACCTGTTTTCTAACATGGTCTAAAACACACAAAACTCATGAAATTTCAAGACTTCATCGAACTTAAATGTTTTGTCAAGACTTCATTGTAAATGACCAAAAATATATTTTATGTTAGCATGTTAGATCTAACACGTTTTCTAACACGTTTTCTAACACGTTTTCTAACATGGTCTAAAACACACAAAACTCATGAATTTCATACGGAATTCAGCAAAAATATATTTTATGTTAGCATGTTAGATCTAACACGTTTTCTCACCTGTTTTCTAACATAACTATTTACAAGCGTTTTACATGGTATATGTTGCGATGGTTCATGACTTTAAACAGTTTTGTAGCCTCTATTTCTTCTTTTAGTACATCGAATGTTTTAACGATACCGAAGGTTTCTTTATATTTCTTCTTGACGTCAGATAGAAGGAATCTTCTGCTGTTGGATAGTTTTTGTTCAGAAATTCTAACATGTCCATTTTATCTTCTGCTGGTTTTTCTGCTTCTTTCTTTAAATCTGCATAGTCGTTTCTCATTCTTTCTATCTCTTTGACGGAGTAGTTATATCTCCTCATTGCTGCTTTACATTTAGAACATTGCGGGTTCATTTTTGCGTTATATTCTGAAACCTTACCAGCTAAAACAACTAAAGCGTCAATTGCTCTCTTCATCTCAAACATAGCGGGTCTTATTTGTTTGTTCCATACTTTGCCTCTTCTATCTTTATCTCTTATCTGCCATACACATTCAGCAACTAACGAAACAAAGTTGTCGTAGGTCTTAAATTCTTCAGATTTATATATGTCAGAAACATTCTTATATACCATATCGCAATCTTTGTCCATAACCTTATGGTTGCAATGAAATCCTAGAAACTCATAGTTTACCTTTCGTAATGAACTTCTTTATTTCTACTGAGTCAGTTGCTTTGACTTCAATTTCGTCGAATTCAGGAATAGTGACTTTTGTTGTTGGATTTCAGGCAATTTGGGTAATGGTCAATAATGTCCTGCAATTTCATAAAGATACTGTTCATTTGTTTCATCTTTCGCACTACAGTCTAATTACATGTGTAAAAGTTCTTGCTTTAATCTTCTGGATTTCTGTTTCAAAAGTATATGAAGAAGGAATGAAGCTTTTCATTTCTACTAACATAGATGTTGGATTCATGACTAACGAGTTTGGTGCTGTTGTTTGAATTGTTGTTGTGCCGATTGTTGACATTTTTATTTTTTTATACAAAATAAAAAAATAAAAAAAAATAAAACTAACTTTATTTTTTATTTCGGGAAAATTCATGAAAATTCAAGAGGTGAAAAAAGAGGTGAAAAAACAGGTGAGATCTAACATTCTAACATAAACTTTATTTTTGGGTCCTTTACACTCATTACGAAGAAGTCTTGACAAAACATTTACGAAGAAGTCATGAAAATTCAAGAGGTTAGAAAACGTGTTAGAAAACGTGTTAGATCTAACACTACCGACATTCTCGTCAATACAAAAAAATGACACTTTTTCATTAGATAACTGTTATTTTTGACGAAGTGAAGGTTACACTTCGTCAAAAAAATCCCTGAAATCATATCTTTTATACAAAATAAATAAAATAAAATGACACTTTTTCATTAGATAACTGTTATTTTTTGACGAAGTGAAGGTTTACACTTCGTCAAAAAAATCCCTGAAATCATATCTTTTATACAAAATAAATAAAATAAAATGACACTTTTTCATTAGATAACTGTTATTTTTTGACGAAGTGAAGGTTTACACTTCGTCAAAAAAATCCCTGAAATCATATCTTTTATACAAAATAAATAAAATAAAACTAACTTTATTTTTGGGTCCTTTACACTCATTACGAAGAAGTCTTGACAAAACATTTACGAAGAAGTCATGAAAATTCAAGAGGTTAGAAAAGAGGTGAAAAAACATTTACGAAGAAGTCTTGACAAAACATTTACGAAGAAGTCATGAAAATTCAAGAGGTGAAAAAAGAGGTGAAAAAACAGGTGAGATCTCACATTCTAACATAAACTTTATTTTTGGTGTAAATTTCATGATTTTCGAGAGTTTTAGACCATGTTAGAAAACAGGTGAGAAAACAGGTGAGATCTAACATTCTAACATAAACTTTATTTTTGCTGAATTCAGCAACAAAATGAACGAGGTCAGGATGTATGTAAATACATTTGAATTCATTCATAACACCCTTAGTAAGCTCATAAAATGCTTGTTTTGAGGTCGAGCCACTTTTGGCTCCACCGTATTCTTTCAACCAAAACTCAAGAATTTCCTGCATGAATTTTGTATAAAAAGCAACCGTCGGAATTCAGACTGTTGCTATATTCTTCACAAAACATTTACGAAGAAGTCATGAAAATTCAAGAGGTTAGAAAACGTGTTAGATCTAACATGCTAACATAAATTATATTTTTGGTCCGGGAACAACTTTCTCTCAATTGGAGCTGTGGCATACTCTTTGCGTAAACGGTTCAGACCTTCTTCGAACTCTTGGTCTCTCTTCGATTTGGACTGAGATTGGAATTGCTGGGGTGGAGCTTGCTGGAACATCCAAGGGTTGGGGAAGTAAGGCATAGGCAGAGGAGGGTAGTTCGGGAAGCCTTGTGGTGGGTAGTAACCTTGAGGTGGAAATTGGTAGAAATTCGGAGGTACTTGCTGGAACTGAGGTTGCTGAGGAGACTGTTGTGGTTCTTTAGGTTCCTCTGGTTTGGGAATGGACTCGGTTGGTGGGACGTGGGACATTCGTTTGTGGCTTAACCGTCGGACCACAACGATAAAAATCTCTGCTACTAGCAGTACTGCTACTGACAGTAGCAGTACTTTTACTGACAGTAGCAGTACTTTTTCTGACAGTAGCAGTACTTTTACTGACAGTAGCAGTACTTTTACTGACAGTAGCAGTACTTTTACTGACAGTAGCAGTACTTTATCGTCGAAAACCTCTCAAATTTTCCTTTTTACTGACAGTAGCAGTACTTTTACTGACAGTAGCAGTACTTTTACTGACAGTAGCAGTACTTTTACTGACAGTAGCAGTACTTTTTCTGACAGTAGCAGTACTTTTACTGACAGTAGCAGTACTTTTACTGACAGTAGCAATGGTCGAGGTCGAACCTACCGACGAGGCAATTTACCTAATTGAAATTAACGACTGCGTCAAAGACTACTTGCGCAAGGTCATGAAGCCCAAGGTCAAGTTCACCACTATTTCTGGAAGGGCTGCCTTGAATCTCGAGACTTCGACTGGAATTCCAATTCAAATACCAGACGGGACAGCCTACGACGACATAAAGCAAGCAAAGAAGGAAGCCATTATAAAGTTCTTTGCCAAGCGTCCTTGGATACTACTTCCAAACAGAGAGAGTCCAATTCCACGAATTATACAAATTCTCAGAGCACTGTTCCACTTCTCGGGTCAACCATTCTACATAACCTGTGAAGGCGACATCCAACCAGTTCAGTAAACCTTTAACGTTTAACTGCACTTTTTATGTTTTTTGTGAAAGTGTCAAAAATAAATTGTTTTCATGAGTTTTCTACGATGTTAGAAAAGTGGTTAGAAAACGTGTTAGATCTAACATGCTAACATAAACATTATTTTTCAATACTTTTTCAGCACTTTTCCGTAGTTATATATGAAAGACAATTCGAGATAAAAGTCATAGTACAATGGAATAATATGTTGCACACCATTTGTTGTGAACCAAACTTGAAAGTCAGAGAAACTGTTACTAGGTGGTTCGTAGAAATTTAGAAGCAAAGTCATAAAAGTCCTTACCAATACATAGAAAACTATTGTTGCTTGAACTGAAACTTGCATGACACATAACATTTTGAGGGTCAAACACGTTTCTATAAACTGTCAAATCTGCTGGTGGAAGTATAAATTGAAATGGACCATCTGGTGGTAATGGTTCGTTCTGGTTTAGTAACCGAAGAAATTGTGCCCAAGAACGTTTGTCTACTTTCCAAAATAAAAACTCTGTATCTCTTGGAGGGTTAATTTCAATCTTTTGAAATGAAACGGTGGAGTTCATCTTGTCATATTCTAGTTTCAGATAGTATGTTCCATTTAGTAAAGAGTCGTATTTTTCTTGAAATTCCCAATAATATTTGTTCATTTGAGTTTGAAAGTCATTTAGAGTTTTCTCAAGACTTTCGTCTGAACGAACTGTAAAGATTCTCATTTCGTCAAATTTGTCTATTAGACCATCAGAACCTTTATACTGCCCATGAAAATATACTGCGAACATAAATGTGTTAGTTCTATTTGAAAACAAAACTCTTCTAAATCCTATTGCCTTTGCATCTGAAAGGACTTTGAAGCCAACGAATTGGATAGTCAAACCTGTATACTCGGGATGAAAAATTTCTTCATCTGAAATAGTCCTAACCAGCATTTGTAAAGATATAGTCTAACGGTTTTGTATCTGCTACTTTTGTTCTTTGTTTTTCAACCTGAAGCATTTAATATTATGTAAAATATATTGTTTTAAAATGGTATGCCATTTCATATTTCTCATCTAACAAACAAGTTTCCCAACGTCTTCTCCAACAAACTCAGCGTACATTTCAAATAAAATTTAAAAAATGTCCTTTTTAAAAAATAAATTTTTACTTCATGCAATGTTTAACACATCGAAAGGCATGTCCATAAGACGTTCTTCTTCTAACCTCTCTAGTCTGTTTGGATAATTTGCACGTGCTGTTTCCAAATCCATTTCGTAGCGAAGACCAGACAATTTGTCATAGACTTTTATGGGTCTTCCCTTCCTATATTTAAAATTCTTCGAAACTCTCCAACCATATCTTTGCAACTCTGCTTTTATTCTAGCAGATTTTCTATCCATTCTATATGGGGGCATTTTTATAAAAATAAAAAATATTTTTTTCTTTACTTTACATAACGCCTGCTGCCATAAGTCTTTGACGCCAACCCATACCAGCTAATGAAGGTTGACTTGGTTTAGTTTCCAAACTAAACTTTGGTTTTGGTTTATTTCAGTTTTTGGTTTTTCTTCTCTATCGGTTTTTCGTCACTTTTCGGTTTCTCTGACTTTACTTCACTTGCAGGAACAGTTGTGTCGTCAACATCTTCATAAATATCATATGCCATTTGTTTTTGTTTTCCTTTCAACTTTTTGTGTTTGTTGTAAAGTTTAGAATATTTCGACTCTAAGTCAATGAGATGTTCTATAAATGAACTGTTGGTCAGTGAAGTAAACTTTTCCATCTGTTGTCTCGAAAGCTCCTTCAGACTTCAATATTTTATTTGTGAGAGTCTGTTTCTTTTTTTGAGATACTTGCCGTTCCATTTTTATGAAAAGTGACTTTGTAGTTAGGGTTTGTATTTCCAGACCTGGCACTTTCTATTATTGAATTTTTCTCTTCATCTGTAAGTTCTTTGACAGGTTTTGACAATGGTTCTGAACTTTTTGTTTGTGGTGTCAAATCTACCGTTTCAACTTCTTCGGTCATTTCATCTCAGTAAAAAATTTTAGTTTGGTTTGTTTTCAACTGGTTGTTGTTGTTTTTTTAAGTCGGTCTAAAACTTCCTGAGGTATAGGAAGAACTTGACAAACACGTTGTGTAACTGCTGGAAGCCGACAAATCCATTTGAACCATTTGTCTCAATGCTGTAGTTCATTTCATCTCAGTAAAAAACTTTACATTCCCCACGTTTGAGGCGGTTGAGGTTGGTTATTGTTTACCCATTGTTGTGCATGGTTTATATCCTCTGTTAAAGAATCTTTCACCTTGGTCCATATAGTGTCCTGCTTGGTTATAGTAGTCTTTGCTTTGTTAATAATAGTTTCCTGCTTGTCTTCCTACATTGTCCATCCATCCTTGAACTTTTCCTCTTGTTTCAGGATTTGGAATAAGATTTGTTGCATCTCGTGCTACATCCCAACCTTTCTGTACAGTTTGTATAATAGGTTGTGCTTTCTCTTTAAGTATACCTAATGTACTCAAAATCTTCCTTCCAACTCCAAATACACCTCTGGCTATTGTTCCACTGCGGGCAAAAATCTGGATGCAACTCCTGCTAATGCGCCAAATAAACCCATTTCTTATAGGATAAAAAATGACGAATCCAAACAAGGACCCTATGTTCTAAAGCGACAAAGAAAGCACTCATGATAAAAATCTTAGTTCAACACCAAATGCTTGGTTTATGGATATCTTGGAAAACATTCCGAGAGTTAGAACAGATGGACCACCATACTGGCTAATATTTGTCGGTCAACACAAGATACTGTGAAGCCATACCATTACAGTCCAAAAGCTATTTAGATATCTTAGCAGCTTTGACAATATTCGTTGACAAATACCATCCAACAAAACTGACATCTGACTGTGAAAGTTCTTTCAAATCAGATGATGTAAAAAACTATCTGCGTTCAAAAAATGTAAACCAATATTTCATTGTCGACCAAAACCATTCTGCTCTTTGGTGTCATTGACGGATGTATAAAAATGTTAAGAGACTTAAACCAACCACAATGTGGTGAAGCAAATGAATGTCATATGACGACAAATTATAGACACTTCTCCATGGCAAAGATGAGACAAGTTTTAAATATTTCCAATAGCCGTAAACAAAAAGGTTTGGGAAACCACTCCCCGGAAGAAATGAAAAACAACCCTGACTTAGAGAGAAGACTATATATTTAATAATTTAGTCAAAAGAGACAAACAAGAAAGAATGCCGGGCTTCAAACTTCAGAAAAGGTGACAAAGTAAAAATAGAAATACCTAAACGCGACCCATATGAAAATACTATTGACTATGACAACAATGGGAACCCGACAGGTACTCACATTCGTGTTCGTAAAATAGAAGAAAGTATACAAGAGAATATTATGAAGTTTTAGGCAAACATGGCAAAATGTACACACTGCAAGCAGAAGATAAAACTACTATTGTCAGACCTCGTTTCAAACTTGTCAAAGTTCAAGGTGGTATACTTTCAAAGACAGTTCCTAACAAATATAAGACAACTCCTGACGAATATGCTAAAGAAGTTGAAAATGACGACTAAGCATTTCTATACCATGCGTAAACTGTCATGTAAGGTGGCATGTAGTCTTTACTTTGTCCCGTTGTTTGTGTATATCCTGAAACGAAATGTGTATGGTTTCCATCTCCCTGAGTGTCACTCCAGTAACCATTTATAGCAAACTTAACGTCGTCTTTAACATCATATCCTTTACCTTTTGTCATTCCTGACCAACCAATATATCTATGACTATGCCAACCTGCTTGAGATGTACTTAAATCTATGTAGTGACTGTGTGCAGGTAAATTTGCACCTGAAATCGTTTTACTTCCACCTGTTTCCTTTGAAGAGTTTGCACAATACAAAAACCTGTCGACTATTTGAGTCCAAGTTCCAAAACCCAGAACTGTTTCTGGATTTGTTGAGTTCATTGACGTATAAATAGAGCCTATAGGATATAATGTTTGAAGTATTTCTGTCTTTAATGTTTGAAGCTCTGTTTTGTCTGCTTTCTTATCTAACATTGCGGGTAGTTCATGTGCTTCAAAGTTTCTGGCATGACTTTCAATGTTCCTGCAACTGTTATCTAAACTGTTTAGTGTATCTTTTACGCTTGTACTCGGATTTTCTAATGGTGCACTTGAACCAAGGTCAAAGTTCAATATTATGTCGTCTGCTGTAAAAGTTGTAAAACTTGTATGTGTATGAGTCTTATTTGCTTTCTTCTCTAACTCATCGTTAACATAAGTTTTATCTGCTTTAAGGTCTAAACATCCTGAAACCCATCCTGTATCAGCTTTAGTTTTTAAAATCTTCGATGTCCATTCATGATACCATTCAGCCCTTTCTATAATTTCATTATCTTTTTCATCCACATATTCCTTATCCGCTTTCTTCTCTAACTTACTAGCCACATATTCCTCATCCGCTTTCTTTTCAAGGCTAACGTTTAAGTCTGTTATTTCAGATATAGAATGTGTATGAGTCTTTTTAGAATATTCGTTTTCAGCTCTTGTCACTTCACTTGACATTTTATTGTCAACATATGTTTTGTCTGCTAGTTCAGGATGAGTATGTTCTTTTGTTGCATAAGCATTGTTAGCTCTTTCTTCTTCTTTTGCTATTGCATCGTCTACATATTCTTTGTCAGCTTTGTTGTCAACATCTGCTTTCAAAAGAAGTTCATTTATAGGTTTCTCGTTTAAAGTTCCTTTTGTTGGATTTATACAGACAGTATGGTTCTTATTGTCTTGAAACAGAAACTCATCTGTTAAAGGGTTTAATGTCAGTTTTAAGTTTCCTTCTTTCAATGACTCAGATATCTTAGAATAGTTTGAAAAGTTTGTTGTGTTCTTATTTAGAGCTTGCACAATGAGTTGTCGGTTGTGTTGTATTTCTCTCATAGACGCTGTTTCATTTGACATTTTTATTATAGATAAAATATGCTTCCAATAGAAAAAGAAAATTCAAGAGTTGCTACAACTAAACCATTAGATGAACTTTTTACTAATGTCGGTCAAAAGTTTGAGACAGAGACCGTAAAGCATGAAGGCTATCGTTTTGACTACCCATTAAGATGGCTAAGAGACCCATCTGTCACAAAAGCTATTGGCTTTCGTAGAATGAAGTTTGTGTCTGTAGAAGATAAAAGTTTTCCATTTATTGTAAGGTTTCATATAGATTATATATCTGAAGGGAAACGAAAAATGTGGGAAGAAATTGAGCTAATACAAGTTGACCTTTCATCTTCTCTACAGACTGCGTTAAAAAATATAGAAGATAAAATAAATTCATGTTATGCAAAATATGCTGATGAATATGCAAATACCGAGAGCACACTTTATGTGAGAATTGTATATGACAAACAAAATTCACAAGTGTCATTTCAAATCTACGAAAACAATCCAAATAAAGACGAACAAATATATACAGAATTCACTGCAATGTCATGGTATTATTTGCAAAGAATGTTAAATCAGAAAGTCGAACTTCCTTTAGCAAATATTACAGTCGATATGCAAGAGATGAACCATATTTATTTAAAGATGTTTTCGACCAAGATGCTATTATTGTTCATGCTTCATTTTCTGGCGCCCAAAACTCTTTCTTATGCTTGGCAAATGACTTTTACGAAAAACCTACAAAGTTATACGAACCACCAAGTGGAAGTATTTCAGACTTTCAAGTATGGTTTACTACAGATGGAAGAAAAAGAATAATTCCATTATACCATGTGTTTTACTTAGAACTTAGTTTCATATACAACTACTATCGAACGGTAAAAATATAATTTTTTAATACGGTTGAGGTGTTGGATTTGGTTGCCAACTAGACTGTGGTGCAGGTTCAGGCTGTTGTATAACAGGAGCTTGTTCTTCTGGTTCAGGGTCTTTAGGTATAATACCAACGAACTGACCTACTCTTTTACCAATATTTTTGACTCCGTTCCAAATTCCTCTTCCTACGGTTTTTATTCCATTCCATATACCTCTTCCAACATTTCGAAAGAAGTTTCCTATCTTACTGAAGAAACCATTTTACT